ATCTATCTACTTATATAGTAGTGTTATGTTAAAGGGAATAGTTAGAATAGTAGACTCTCTAACTATTCTTACTATTCCTATTAATCTAAATTACATGTATATCCTATAAGAGGTACTATACTTATTATAGGTGTTAATTCCTATAGGTGCCTTCCTGTAAAGCGTAGCCTAGGGTCTCACGGGAGTCCAGGGAACCAGGTCAGGAGGCAGGGAGGGTATCGTATTCAGTAAGCACAATAGGTCTACGTAAATACAGCGACTATTGACTGGAGTCCTCCACTGAGGCTCCAGCCCCTGATATATCTTCCTATACCGTGAACCCTAATAACCGGGCTATACCCGAATGACAGCTCCACCGTAGGGCTGCCTTCGGCGTGGCACCTCACGTGCCATCACGTGAGGACCGCCTTACACTTCCTAAGGAGGCACCCTGTTCTACATAGGTGCCTTTCTTAATAGGCACCTTCCTTTTACTAGGTACCTTTCTAAAAAGGTACCTTTTCCTAAAGGTGCCCTTATTAACTAAGCTACTTATAGTCTCTACGCCTATTTCCTACTGCTAATTAGCCGTAAGCTATTTTACCTTATTACTATATCTTATAGCCTATAGGTTACATGTTTTAGCTATAACAATATATGTGTTAAGTTAACGCAACCTACTTCTACCTACAATTAGTATTATACTAGTATTTCATTTTTTTTTACATAGTATTATATAGGGTAACCTATTCTTTTGCCTTTCTAATAATCTATAAACACAAGCTGCACTTTAACAAATCTATATGAGAGATTGAGCAAACGGTTCTATGGTCACGTGACATGTTACGTCGTTCACAGTCTCGTGTTTATACCACGTCAGGTCACTTAAAACACGCTCAAGTCCACTCCAAAAATCAAGAGGTTGAAATCTTCATTCATTTCTCTCCATATCTACCCTTCCACACTACCGTCTAACTTCCTCTCTCAATCCTATCCGTTCCCTTCGCACCCTCTTCCCATTTCAGCCCAAGAGGCATTCACTCACACAACCTCGTACAACAACACACCACACCCAACCCCCTAATCCAATACGCCAACCCGTGAAACGGAAAAACAAAAAGAGTAATAAAAAAAAGTTCAAGAGCTTAGATGCCCTCATGCCCTGTCCCTCATCCGTTCGAAAATACTCCAACAATTCACAATCCATCCAATCACCGTCGTGACACCCGCAGCCAGCAGACCAACCGCCCTATATTGTTGTGAGCGGTAGGTGGTGGAGGAGGGGGGTGTCGTTGGAATTTTGCAACAGGTAGCCTCGAAGTGTCGTTCGTGTCAAAGAGTGTGGTGGTGTGGGAGAATGTAAGTCCCATAATATGTATAGCCTCAGGAGGCCAAGCCGAGCCTTGTATATCCCCCCTATCCCTCCGAATCCACGCCGAAGGAGTGATGGCGGGTGCGAAGGGATCAGGAGAAAGGGCGGACAGAGAGTGGAGAGAGGCGGTGTGACAAATGGTGACTGGATATGAGAGCAAGATGTTGCGTCGGAGATTCGAAGATTGGACATCGGCCAAGCACACCTATTATCGGAAGTCGAGACAACTGGTTAAGTCCGATATATGCCGGGTTTCGACGTGGGCGGCGGGCGGGAGACGGATTAGGAAAAAGGTTGACGGCCGCATGCGATTACAAGAGAAATACAAAGTCATTGTCGTGAGATTCGAAGCGCTCGGCCCTGCCACTGCCCTGCAGTGGTGCGGATTTATGCGTTCGTGACCTGCAGCAGATAGTTAGCACGTGTCCAAGATAGCTGACTGAGGAGTAAGGTTAGCACATACCTTGAGGATTCTCCTCGAGTAGTCCTGGTTATCCGCGATGCTGCCGGCGCTCATCCTACGCATGATAGCTGGCTCGAGTCTGGTGTCGAATGCGGGCGCGTCACTCGGTGACTTGACGAAGGCGTTGATGGCCGCCTGGCGCCTGTGTGCGTCCTCCAGCTCGCGACGATTCCTGGCACGCAGGTAGAACCACATCCCTCCGATCGCTGCGGCGATGACGACTACGCCGACAACGACGCCTGCGGCGATGCCGGCTACGTTTGGGCCTGAGCTGCCGGTGTCTTTACTGGCTGCGGGTGATTGGGTCACTATGACAGTTTGGCCTAGACGTGTGAGCAAAAATTCGGCGAATGGGACAGCTGAGAAAGAACTCACCTCCGACGAAATTTGTAACCACAGAGGGGCTGTTTGCCGTGGTCTCGGCTGGCTGTGATGTTTTAGATGAAGGAGAACTATCAGCCACTGAATCTGCATTCTTGATAGTCTTATCAAGGCCATCGTTCCATGTGGAGAAATAATTCCCATCTTCTGAACCGCCTGTTTCATGTCAGCATGATATCGACAATATCCAAGCAAAGTCACATACACATATCTTGGCCATAGCCGGGGCACACCATTGAGCACTTCGAGATGTCCACCTTGTGCTTCTTCGCGGGTAACGTATCGGCGCACCAACAATCGGAGCCGTTAATCGCCATCACCGGCTTTCCCAACGGCACGCAATGAGTCGAGCATGCCGACGCCGCCTGCCACTGTTCGTTGAAGCCATGGACGAATCCGTCTAGAGAATCGTAGCAGTCGCCCTTTATAATATCGAACGCATCCGCGGGCGCCGGGCCGAGTAGCGCGACGGCAAGAGCGAGAACTGATGAGAAGAGCATGGTGGATTTGATGTTGGCCGCGGCCTCGAAGATGACGGGGAATTCAGCACTGTTGGTTGTTTTGATGTCGAGATGGACGTCGACCACCCTAATGACGCTTCGATGGGGTCGAGGTTCGTGACGCTAGACCCTTTGACAGAGGACGTTTCTTTGTCCTGGCTTTCGTCCCTTTTTTGAAAATACCGGTCGATGGGCGAAATTAGATGCCGCTTCGATGGAATCGATTCCGTTCGTGATTTGTTTCTCTGGTTAGATCTGTCGGATCTGCTGTTTCCTTTTGCCGCGATGTACCGGGGGACCCGAGGAATGAATAGACGGTGGGAAGAATCGACAAGTGTCGACGACGGGGTATAAAGCGAATGTCGTGAATCACACAGGGTGATCAAGTTGGATGGACAGACGAGGGAGTGTGATGATGGATGAAGGAAGGTGAATGTCGTCGATGATGGTCGTGTTTCGTGATGAATGAATGAAGAGAGAGGAGAGAGAGAGAGAGAGACCGACACAGGCACAGACACAGACCGAGAGAGAGATAGGTGGGTGCGTGTGTGAGTTGAGAGTATCCGGAAAGGCAGGGGGGGTGTGTAGGAGGGAAAGGATGGGGAAGTACGGTGTTGAAGTGGTGGTGTACTTTAATCAGGTACCTCCGGGAAGTGGGAAAGGGCTCAGGCACAGGCACAGGCACAGGCACAGGGAGACGCGGGAGGGAGGGAGAGTGAGGGGGGATTAGCAGGAATTTAGCAGGAATTAGCAAGTCAACGGGCGAAAAAAGCCAGTAACAGTACAGTAAAATACAGGAAGTACAGTAACCACAGATAACCGCTGGAGGGGGAGGTACCTGCATCACAAGAGCAAAATGCACAGTAACTCTAAGTACATAACTAGACAACTAGACAAACTAGACAAACTAGACTATGAATATGTACTGTACCATACAGGACCAAGCACAACACCTAGTACTGTACAGTCCAGCACAGTCCAGTACAGCAAACAGTCCAATACAGTCCCATACAGTCCAATACAAGTTGAAAGATCGACATATTTCTTGCCGCGGTGTCTTGGGAGGGGTTTGCGCTGGCGTGCACTTGTGTCTCGTAGTGTGCCTATCATTTCTGTGGACGGCGAGTAGACAGGGAAGACAGAGGAGACAGAGAAGACAGAGAAGACAGCCACCTTGTACCCCTTCGCTGGTCTCCCCAGCATAAATATACAACTGACACGTCTCGGGAATGTTCCGTTTCACTCCTTCCCAACACCTCAGGCCTCACATTCTCGTTACACCTCACACACATCCTCACCCTCTCCTCCCCATCATCACCACTCCGATACAAGCACACACACACACACAACGGATACACCAGATACACCAAAACACCACCATGCCCACACTAACCCCCCATCCCGCCTAGCCCCCCCAATTAAGCGAAATGACAGGAAACCACCCTCTAACCCCATCCAGCCACGATTGCCCGTTTACCTCGTCGGCGATTGGCTGCCCAGTCTCCACTTCTCGCGGTGCGAGAAAATGGGAGGGTCCGCTGTTCCTGCAGTTCCGCCGTCGCCGTCGCGTCGTGCCCCTGTCAGTTACGGCGGCGGGTACGTACCGCCCGAGAAAATAATACCGCGAAATCCAGCGAGAGAGTATTGTGGCGGAGTTTTGTCTGTGTCATGCTAGATTTTTAATACCCGAGTGTTAATGAAGGGGTTAATCAGTCGTACACAACTTATGAGTGATAAAACTGTTATTACAATGCACAAAACGCTTTAACTTGCTCAGCCTCAATTCCACTCGATGACTTAACTTTTGCTTCAAGTATACACATCAGTAATACACAGCCCCTAGAATTGACAGGATTATAGGGGCAAGCCGAGCTGGCAAACCGTGGTACTGACCTCTCACTCACACATCACACATGCCAACGACAGCTTTTACCGGCTTCGGCGCGTCCATTCCCGCTTCACGTGCCCCATCCAAGCTCTCCACCTTTTCGTAGCCCTTCACTCAATCAACAAGCACCACACACAGAGTTCAAGTAAACAGCTCACACATACATAACTTATCCCAACAAACAGACACCAAAGAAAAAACTAAAAATACGCCACTTCCTTGCCCAACTCCGGCGCCACAAGTCCCAAAAAACCCACACACACACCACCATCACACACCAACGCACTCGCCAAAAAAAAATCCCATCTCCAACCCGGCATCCAGAACTTCCAAGCCCATACCGCCCATCCCATACCGCCCAGTGCTCCACGGTGGAGAATCCGAAAACTCAATAAACAACACACCACACAGCATATCCACAGGTCAATCTCTTACCTGTTTTATATTTAGCCCTCCCCCCTTCTTGGCTGTCTGTCGTCCCACCCTGTCCTGTCCGCCTCACACTCCACCACCCACAGAGCAAGCAAGGCAGGCAAGACAGATAGTAGTAAGTGAGGGCGCGAGTTTAGGAGACGGTGATCACGTGATGGGTGACTGAGACATGGCTTTGCTTTTTGCTGTGATGGCCGGCGCCTGGACGACTCGCCTAGAATTTACTTTACTCGCCAGGGAGGCAGGGAGGCAGAGACGCGGTCAGCTTTTTTTCCAAGAGTGAGACGCGTAGTCGCTCGTACGCTCGTACGCTCGTACTGTACGCTCGTACTGTACGCCCGATATCCATATGTACAACAGTACTGACACGGAGTACATATATCCACACCCATCACCCAGCTCTACAACAGTACTGACACGGAGTACTGTACTGTACATATATCCACATATCCACACCCATCACTCACCCAGCTCCAGAACGACGATGACATAACACCCCGGCGTGCCCATTCTCTCTCTCTCTGTCCCTCTCTCACTTTCTGTACTCCCTACTCCCCCCCACCCCCGTTATCAATTCCACACCCAGTCACACCTTCCAGACCTCTATTCTTAGCCCTCCCCCCCCCCGAGCTCTCCGTCTCGGTGTAGGCTTGGCCCCCCCGAACGACGACATCCTAGACGGAGATAGATGTCTGTGCGGATATTGGGCGCCACGCGCGCTGGGGGGGGGATGGGATTAAGTGATCTAGGATGGATAAGCCGGATGTTATGCAGTGAGACGAACGGGGATGTGAGGATGGGGACGCGCGGTGCGGTGCAGGTAGAGTCTTGGTGATGCGAGGGATGGGTAGAACCAGCGGCTACGGGATAGGGATAGGGAATCTTCTCGTGTCAGCAGCAGCAGCGGCTTGCTTGCTTGGCTTCATTCAGCTGGCTACATCTTCGTATTTACTTTCCAGACTGGAGTAAGTTCCCGAGTCAACCAACCTAGGCATAACAGTACATAAGTATAAATGGGGCTTTCTTCAATGTATGTCCGTTACATCCGGACGGTGAAGTTCTATCCTTAGGAACAGGTTTATGCTCTAGACCGTCAGGCTGGTGCTCGCTAAGTGGACGCTAAGGAGACGAACCCGTGAGTGTGGGACTAAGCGGGTTGTGTTACCCGCCAAGACCCTACGATTTTGGTGGTGGTGGTGGTGGTGCTGGAAAAAATTGATGGGAATTGTGAGTCTGTAGGCAGACGACGCTGAGTGCTGTTCTTTTGATTTTGCGTCAAAAATAAACAGAGGGGGTGGGTTTTACGTAATTAATATAGGCAATAAAAATTGTAAAAAAAAATGTAAAAAATGACACAAATCCACTCCAAGAGGGGCTCGAACCCTCAACCTCAAGATTGATTTACGTTGACTAGACTAGAGTCATTAGTAGAAGTCTTGCGCGCTACCATTGCGCCATTGGAGCATTTTCGGATTTCCAGGGGTAGGGCAAAATATGGCCTATGAAGGTCATAGCATTTTCCAGGCAGTTTTAACCACATGACCGATTGGGAGTGGGAAGGATAATGATATGGGTAGGTTGATAATGGTAGTTAGATATTAATACTCGTCGTTCTGTTTTCTAGTTCTAAAAGGTAGAGTGTGGATTATATTCCTCTATGAATATTGAAAGTTGAGGGTTAATATGTATGGTTTATTCCTAAATTATACGTCAAGATAAATAACTTCAAAATATTACATTTATTTTCATTTAATATTCATTCAATCCGGATTATACCTCCGTCTAGCCTCCTCAACACCCCCCCTACCGTCTCTATAAGGAGTATACCTATCCCCCCTTCCCCTCCCCCTCCTCCTACCCCTCACACCACCCCTCTCCCCATCCCCCACCTTCACAAGCGGCACAGCATACTGCACATTCCGATCCCAATCCTCCACCCTCGCAAACGGACTCCTCAACCACGCCCTAACCTCATGCAAAAACAACCTCGCATGTTCCCTCCCCAAAAACTCTTTTAGTAACTCCTCCGCCTGTCCCGACGCCCCTTGCATATCCACCGTCTTCAAGACTGCCATTATATACTCCAGCAAGAATTCCGCATTATCCCCTCTTCCCCGTCTCGTCCCCCCCTCTGTTGCACCCCCGACCTCGCCCTCCGCGGTGTCCGTAGGCTGTAAGAATGCGAAAACCCGCAACTCCCGCCGTATCCACGTCCGCGCCCGTGACTGCAGTTCGGGGGAGGCAGAGAGGGATTGGGGCGTGAAATCGCGGAAGCGGGAGATCCGGTTGCTGCCTACGTGTAGGGAGTAGAGGTTCTGCGCGTAGACTGCTCTGCGGCGGGCGAGGGCGTCGTCGGGGGCTGGGGTGGGTGTGTGTGTGTACTGCCGTCGCGGCCTTGACGGTCGATGGGGGAAGCTTCGCTGTTGTGGTGGGGGGATCGAGGAGGAGGGTGCGGTGGATTTGGTGGTGGATGTGACCGCGTAGATTTTGTACTCCGTCTCGTTCGTGAAGGCGTAGTGGATTTCGAAAACCTCGGCGTTGCAGAGGGGACAAGAACTACGCTGTTGTAACCAGCTGGCTAGGCATATAAAGTCGAAGCTCGCGTGGCGGCAGGGCGACGCCTGCGCTGCCTCGGTGATGCGGTCAAGGCATATTACGCAGCATTCTTCTGCGGTATGGTGGGGATCTGCGTCCGCGCCTGCGCGTGCTGTGATCTCGGCGAGTGTCGTTTGGAGAACCTGGGACTTCGTGGCGGTGTCGTCGTCCATGGAGATTGGGAGTGGGTGGAGGGGCGATGGGGGACTTAGTGGATAATTATGGTGGAGGGCGATAACGATAAGAGCGCGGTCCGGGACGCGCTAATTTTAGCCATTACACGTTCTAGTCGCGTCCCGCCCGTTGTTAGGGCTGGGAAAGAGTGACATTTTGAGATAGCGCTGCTACTGCGACAACGAACTCGAATTATGGATGAGGAAGAACGAAATATTTTGACGGAGCAGTCGGTTGTGTTGAGGCAGGAGTTGAAGGTTTGGGAGAGGGAGTTTGCGGCTGGGAATAATGGACAGAAGGCTGGGAGGGAGGATATTAAGCAGAACTCTCATATAGGTACGTTGCTCCATTCCTTGAGTATGATGCATGGTCTGACACTACGATGCAGCTCAAAAGTACAAGGATTACAATCGAATTCGAGATATCCTCGCTGGCAAAATACCCACGAAACCTCTACCTAAACCGAAGCCAAAAGCGCCAGAAACTACCGCGCCCCGGTCCTCGAAACGAAAATCCCCTTCCAATACACTTGGGACACCCGCTAAACGACGGGCAGTCGTGGAGTCTCGGACGCCCTCACAGATACACCCCCAACCTTCGACAGCGGGACCATTCGACACTCCCTCAGCGAACCGCCTCCTCTTCACCCCCCAAAAGCCCCGTGTCATCGGGCCCACGCCGCAGAAAGATGGCAAGTTCCTCGGTATATTCGACGCCATGCCCAGCGGTGATGAAATATCGCCGTTCAAGCAACCAGCCGCCCCCTCCGACGCCCCAAGCATCCAGGAGACGCCGCGGAAGTCGAAGGCTGCTGATGAAGGGATCATGGCCACCCCGAGCGCGGCGAGGCATTCGAGGACGCCGCTGTCGAGCAGTAAGCGCTTCTTGCTGGATACGTTTGTGACGCCGTTGAAGCGCCGGCGGGGGAGCAATGAGGAGAGCACCAGACAGGCGTCGTTGACGCCTAGTTCTGTGTCGAAACTGAATCTCTCTACGCCATCGTTTTTGCGAAGGGATAACAGGATCGCTGCGCTTCCGGCTATTAGTGAGGATGCTGTTGACGTATTGTCCCCGCCGGCAGCGAGAATGCCGAAGAGGTCGCTTGTTAGGGGGTTGAGTAGTATGCTGGCGAGCTTGAGGGAGATGCAAGAAGAAGCGCTGGATGACGACCTTGACGCCCTGCGAGAGATGGAGAGTGGCCCGCCACCTCCGAATGCTGCTCCGAAGCAGTCATTACCCAAGCCTCAAGCGCCGAAACCACAAGAAAGCATTCAGGTCGGGGATAGCCAGCAGCTTACCGATTTCCCGTTTATCGATTTCCCGGATCTGGATTTCAATAACGTTGGTGGCAAGGATGCGGATGATGAGCTGGGGGAGAAGGAGCAGGCTATTGCGGATAGGGATAGTAAACTTCCTGTTTACAAGAAGAAGGGCCAGAAGAGGACGACGAGGAAGGTCAATATTAGGCCTGTGAGGACTAAAGCGCCAGCTCAAGAGGCTGCACCTACGAATTACTCCGATGATGAAGATGACGAGTACGGTGATGGGCAGGATGATACGCAAGATGGGGATACACAGAACCCGACTCTCGTCCCAGATACGCAGGAAGGCTTTGAGGCAGACTCGCTACCGCTTTACAAGGCAGTCCGTAACTTTGACTCGGGCTCGGATGACAGCACGCAGTACACGGCCTCGGAGGGAGGGACGAGATACAAGAGGAGCAAGCAGAAGATGACGGGGCGCAGGCAGAAGGTTGGGGCTCAGGTGCATACGAATTATAAGAGGACGAAGCTGAAGAATTCGGGAGCGAAGGGAGGGAGGGCTGGAGGGAAGTTTGGGAGGAGGCGGTGATTGTGAAGATGGGTAGCTGCTTGGCTTTGCTGTGGCTATAGAATTGGTGTACACGAATTATGAAGGTTATGATGGATACAATAGCATGTTGCATTGGAGATGGTAGCGTAGCATACAATGGTTTTGAGAAATGGGAATACATACTTTAGAGGCATTTTTTGGGCGATGGTCTATCGCATTATATCGGCTTTATATTACTTGTAACGACCTCGCTGGCCCATAGGCCGAAGATATCTTGTGGCTACATGTGGTCATTGTTCTGGGCCTCACAAATCCCTGTTCTAGACCCCAGCCTTTTATCGACGAGAACTCGCACAAGCAGCGTCCATAGTAAGCATCTCTCTCCGGTGAACCACGCGTGATTTTCAGCTGTGCAAAATTAAAATATCTCATCCCCCCAAAACACACCCGCGAGAATTTTTCGTCTCGGTATATAATATAATGGTCTCCGCAATCATGGATGAATGGCTGAGCGGGCCGAATGGACATGCCTGCCCAGGGCGATAATAATAGAGTTGGCGATGCCATCATCATTGATCGGGTAGCAATCTTTACCATGCGTTTTGCGCCAAGTCCGTGCTCAGATCATGGAGGTGCAAGACATGTGGCGTCGGAGCAGCGTCTGTATGGAACCATGAACTTGACTTTGCGGCTTTTAATTGTATGTGAATGCCTCTCTCTCATGAACCTTGAATCCTCCGAATTGCCCGGGGCATTTCGATATACGGTTTTCCCTCTTCTTGGTTGCTGCTGTTGTTAGTAGTCCTCGGCGGTAATTGGGCGGGCTGGGCGCTGGTGGTTGGTGGTGGTTGGAGAGAAACAAGGGCCAAGTTCAAATGCACAAGGCGGGTTTAGGCTGCCCCTCACCCCGTCCGTTTTCGATTCCGTGGCTGCGATTGGGGTGATTTGCGGTGCGGGACGAAACTACATCATCATACCCTTTGCGCCGCAACTTGGAAAACGAACGAACGAATCTACGAAACCAACAACAACTCTATACACATACCTCTTACGAACGATATCAACACCTACTGTCTGTCACTTTCGAAGTATTTTACCTTCTTTGCAAATAGCAAGAGATCGACTTATACTTGGGTGACTTGCTGAGGCAACTTGTGGCTTACTATATTTGTTACCCCGCCAAGTACCTGTCTGGGCTTCGTTTGCAACCTCCAAACGAGCGACTGGGCCTGTGTTTGAGCTGCATAGGATTTCAACGACAGCAGAGCACTTCTGCGCAAGCTCCTCAAACTTTGAGTTATCAACAAATAATAACTTCCACCACCTGTCGAAATGCGCGGTGCCTTGCAACCAACCAACGACGGCTCAGGACGCCTTCTCCTCGTCTCTAACCGCCTGCCTATAACCATCAAGCGCTCCGACGATGGAACGTACAGCTTCAGCATGTCCTCTGGTGGCCTGGTTACAGGTCTCAGTGGTTTGGCGAAGACGACCAAGTTCCAATGGTACGGATGGCCTGGGCTGGAAGTCCCAGAGGCAGAGGTTGAGGACTTGACTACTCGTTTGAGAGACGAGTATGGCGCGACGCCTATATTTGTTGATGATGAGCTCGCAGATCGCCATTACAACGGCTTCTCGAGTAAGTGCTATGCCCAAAGCTTACGGATTATATGCTGACGTATCTCTAGACTCCATCCTATGGCCGCTCTTCCATTACCACCCCGGAGAAATCACATTCGACGAATCCGCCTGGTCGGCATACAAGCAGGTGAACCGCCTCTTCGCTAAGACCATGGCCAAAGATGTACAGGACGGCGACATGATCTGGGTCCACGACTACCATCTCATGCTCCTCCCTGAGATGCTGCGCGAGGAAATCGGCGACACCAGGAAGAATGTCAAGATTGGATTCTTCCTGCACACCCCGTTCCCGTCGAGCGAGATATACAGAATTCTGCCGGTGAGAGAACAGCTGCTTATGGGCGTGCTGCAGTGTGACTTGATCGGCTTCCATACGTATGACTACGCCAGACATTTCCTCAGCAGTTGTGCGAGGATACTGGAAGTGGGGACTACGCCCAACGGAGTCGAGTATGGTGGGAAGTACGTGACGGTAGCTGCATTCCCTATTGGTATCGACCCGGATAAGTTTGTGGAGGGCCTGAAGAAGCCAAAGGTTATTGACCGAATCAACGCCCTCAAGAAGAAGTTTGAGGGGGTGAAGCTTATCGTTGGAGTTGATCGCTTGGATTACATCAAGGGTGTACCGCAAAAACTGCACGCCCTGGAGGTCTTCTTGACTGAGAACCCAGAGTGGGTTGGTAAGGTGGTCCTGATTCAGGTGGCCGTCCCCAGCAGAGAAGACGTGGAGGAATACCAAAATCTCCGCGCTGTTGTCAACGAACTCGTTGGAAGAATTAATGGAAAATTCGGTAAGCACCAACGTGTCATATATACTGTAGCAACCTACTAACATACACCCAAGGCACAATCGAATTCATGCCCATCCACTTCCTCCATCAATCCGTGGCCTTCGATGAGCTCACCGCCCTCTACGCCGTCTCCGACGTCTGCCTCGTCTCTTCCACTCGCGACGGCATGAACCTCGTCTCCTACGAGTACATCGCCACGCAGCGCGAGCGCCACGGTGCCCTGATTCTCTCTGAGTTCACCGGTGCCGCGCAGTCCCTGAACGGCGCGCTCGTTGTTAACCCATGGAACACCGAGGAGCTCGCGAAGGCGATCTACGACTCTGTTACGATGGATGCTGAGCAACGGCTTAACAACTTCAAGAAGCTCGAGTCGTATGTGTTTAAGTATACGAGTGCGTGGTGGGGAGAGAGCTTCGTGGGAGAGCTGAACCGCATTTCCATTGCGGCGGAGAAGAAGAGGGCGAAGGAGCTTGAGGAGGCGAAGTCGCCCGCAGTTCCGTTTAGAGAGAAGCTGGAGAGCGTTGGGAAGGTTGTAAAGGATGTGGTGGTGGGCACGGACGAGAAGGAGGAGAGGACCGAGGAGAACTGAGGAAGGGGGAGGGAAGTATAGAAACGATTATAGGCGATTTGGGTTTGCATTGCACGGGTTTACGAAGATTGGAGGGTGGAGTATATGGGTTGGCTTTGGGTTGCTTGGGATACTCTTGTGTTATGAACTGCCTGGAGCGAAAATAAATATGAATATGATGGATACTAAAGACTGAAAACCTGTGCTTTTTGCCCCATATCCAAGGAGCCCATTTATTGCCACTGGCTCACCGAGCCTCGTTTCCTCATGGCTTTCAGTAGAGAAAACCCACCCCCGCTTGTAAGCGCAGAAGAGCTGTAACCAAGGACAGCGGACATACTGGAAGCATCTCAAATTCTCAAATGTCTCTCGCTGGTTGGTTGACAGCGATGAAGGTCGCTTCTGATTGGACGAGGTCTGTGGCGACTTCCGAGTCACATGACCTGTCTTTGTTCTGTGGCGTAAAGCTACTCGTTACTAGGTGATCAGCCACAAACATAAAGAATGACGCCTGTTTGTTCCTTTCCCCAACTCTAAATATTGTCCCTGGCGCGCAAACGCAGAAAATACAACACATTTGTCGTAGCCTTTGGCAAGAGATTGGCAAATATTTGTTCTGAGGAGACTCCATATTCACACCCAGAACTTTCAGCTTCTTGCGCCCATTCTTTGTCAGAATGTTTGTACTTCGGAATGGTACGTTGATCTTGACCCCACCACCATGCCCCTCCTTTGCCTAAATTTCTTGTTTTGAGCGCACGTTCGCACCAGCCTCCAGCTCCACAAACTAACTTATCCTACAGTTGGGAAGTTGATCTTCGGCGATACTTCAAAGGAATCTATAATAGAGCTTCCGCAGGGCCAACTTTACCTCGTCCGCCCGCTGTCACCCAAGGGCTACTCCGAACTCATCTTCAAGGACGCCGCCGCTCGCATTCGCAAGACGGGACAGGAGTTCCAATACCAGCTCGTTATCCAGCGCGCCTACGAGGAGGGCGAGGAGGAGCTAGGAGACGAGGACGCTGACGACGAGGAGGATAGCGCCTTATCAGCTGAGCGTGACGAGAAGACCTTCCTCTTGGATGAGGGGCTGCACTTCCGCACCGAGATCCGTGACGGGGAAGAGCACGTCCTGGCGTGGCGCGACCTCTCGGGCGATACGGGGGACCTCTACGAGTTCGTCTGTGATCACTCCGTTGGTGCGGATCTGGTTGAGCAGTTCGAGCTTATCGCCCGCCAGTGCCAGTACGAGCGCAAGTGGAGGAGGAACCATACCCAGGCAACCGAGGAAGACCTGGACAGCTTTTACTTTGAGGAACAGGCTATTCCGAGCGCTAGCCCTATTCACGCTCCCCAAGAACTCAGCTTGGATAACAGCATGCCTCCTCCATCTGTGCCCAGAGCGAACGCAAATGTGGCAGCAAAGCGTGACCAGACGCCTGTGAAGCAACGGAAGATGTCGCCCTTGGCTCAGGCTCCTCAAACTCCAGTGCCTACTCAGGCACCGCAAGCGACGCAGCAGAGGGTTGCACTCGAGGTCCTTGCCAAGGAAGGAGCCGAGCTTCATCTTTTCGACTTCACTTCGGGCTCATTTATACTGCAAGATGACGAAGTTACGGCAATCGTTTCAGAGGTTGGTCAGTGGGATTACTGGCTTGAGATCACCGGAAAAGACAAAACCTGGTTGGGCCAGCCAGTCGTTGCCGATATCAACCCTGTTTTCAATTTTGAGTATTTGTCGTTCATTTTCAATCATTTCACCGAGGATGGATCTGCATACTCATGGCTTCTCCGATTTAAGAACACCGAAACTATTACAAGGTTCCAGGAGGGACTGATGCAAGCCCTTTGGGAGCAGCTGAATGAGTTGAAGTGGAACAGGCAAAAGGAGCAGGATCAGGAATACATTACAAGTGCTTTCCAGGATTTGGAGATGACTGATGCGCAGGATGAGGTCGAAGAAGAGGAAGAAGAAGAAGAAGGAACACCTGTGGAAGAAGACGAAGAGGATGTCTCTGACGGACAGCAGAGCGAGCATTACGACAGTGATGAGGAGAATGATGACGTCGAAACCCATGAGAAGGATGGAAATGTCAACTCCCAGCTTGCTGTCGGTTATAAGCACGATCGCTCGTTCGTCGTTCGCGGATCGAAGATTGGTGTTTTCAAGCACACTCCTAACAACCACCTTGAATTCTCAACGAACATCTCAAAGGTCCAGACGCCCAAGGGCAAACTTTTCAGCCCGAAGAAGGTTATGCTGCACTCTGAGGATACGAGCATGATTCTCCAAAACGACTCCGATCCCAACTCTCTTTACCGCATGGATCTGGAGTACGGCAAAATTGTCGACGAGTGGAAGGTGCACGACGACATCCCAGTCAACACTTTCGCTCCGGAAAACAAATTTGCTCAGATGACCGGCCAACAAACCTTCCTTGGACTGTCGAAGAATGCCCTGTACCGCATCGATCCTCGCCTGGCAGGCTCAAAACTTGTCGACGACTCGCTGAAGCAGTACGTGTCGAAGAATGACTTCTCCGCTGCGGCCACGACCGAGAAGGGATACATCGCTGTTGCATCCAATAAGGGTGATATCCGCATGTTCGACCGCCTTGGTATCAACGCCAAGACCCACATCCCCGCCCTCGGTGAGCCCATCATCGGACTCGACGTCTCCGCCGACGGCCGCTGGATCCTCGCGACCTGTCGTACATACCTCCTCCTCGTTGACGCGCTCCAGAAAGAAGGCAAGAACGAGGGCAAGCTGGGTTTCGAGAAGGCATTCGGAAAGGACTCCAAGCCACAACCACGCCGTCTTGGCCTAACCCCCAACCATGTTGCGCAGTTCCAGCACGAAACTGGTGCGCCGCTGTCCTTCACACCTGCCAAGTTCAACACGGGTGAAGGCATAACCGAGACATCTATCATCAGCGCCACGGGACCATTCATCGTCACCTGGAACATGAAGAAGGTGCTTGCTGGACGCAAGGATCCGTACACGATCAAGCGCTACGCGGAGGAGGTCAAGGCCGACAACTTCCGCTATGGAAGCGACAAGAATGTGATTGTGGCACTGCCCAACGAGGTGAACATGGTCGCGAAGGGACAGTTCAAGAAGCCGACGCGGGAGAGCATTATGATGACGCCCGTGAGAGACTCGAGGAGAAGCAGTGGCAGGATCCAGGTTCCTGGGAGCGGGAGATACAAGCTCGGCCGCGACGACGTTGTGAATTCGCCGTATTAGGCTTGTGGGGTCGTCCTTGGTGAATGCGGACTGGCGTTGGTGACCCGTTTGGTTGGTTTGGGGGCGTTTATTTCGAAGCGTAGTCACTCGTTTTGCGAGGGTGGTGTGTGCGTGTGCTTTTTTTTTCATGATATCCAGCGGAGGAAATAGAATCCAGGAGAGTGTAGTGACGTGATGGAAGGAGAATACGGGAAGCATCTAATGTTCCCCTTGATGGAAGTTTTTGGCCAATTTCGGGAGGGATGGTAGCGGATGGCTTGCAGATTAGGTAGATATTTATAGCTTAGGAATTAATTCATATTTACAAAATAAAATGGTGGATGGCTAAATTGTTTGGAGTTTCTCGTTACATCCTCCCAAGTTTTTTTGATCCAAATAGTGAGCCGACCATGTTATTGGCTTCGGTAAAACGGCAAACAGAAAATCAATACCATTAATTTCCGCCTCAATCATTATTTGTTTGCCCCGTTGGTTTTAGGATTCCGAACTTCATCCTGTCCTTCTTCAGGTCCTCTGCGTTTTCATCAGGGACCCCCTTCACTAGTATTTGCAACTCTTTTCCCGCCATCCATTCACCATCTTCAATTGCCTTCCCCAGCTCTACCTCCCAGAATCCTGTCTTCCGTCCGTATAAACTTGTAGGTTTTGCTCATTTCCACAAGGGGATAGGACCACCAATTAACAACTCTTCTGCACTGTTATTAAACACGGGGATAGAAAACAGCTGGACCGATAGGCCATCATTTTGCGAACGAGACGAAAGCTGTGCCACGATATGCGGAATGATTTCTGGGTCTGAAGATATTGTTGGAGATTCAGTGATTAGAGATGTTAGACACTGGTGGACATTGGAAGGTTCGATTCCCGTAGGCAGCGTAAATGTACCCAATTCCCGAAAGTCCCGGACATGTTGGAAGCTATTGAGGCCAAGCTTGGAGTAGATGGTGATAGAAGTCGTGGGTGAGCGGGCTGTCCAGTAATGAATCACCGTCGCGCCCAAGCCATCGACTGATTTGATAACGCTTATAAGCAATACGTGAGGATGAGAGAATGTTTCCAGATCTGGATCTGAAAATGGAATCTTCAAGATGGATTAGTGAATGCTTGACCGTTTGGATATGGAGCACTACGGAGTCAACATGTTGGACATGTGCCTGGGCGTTTGGTGCCGGGTATGGTGCCGGGTATGGTCCCGAGTATGGAGGTGGAGAGTCCTCCATTGCTTCGTCAAGATTACGAACGCAAAGCTTTGGAGTAGCTGTTTTGACAATGATAAATAATGAGGGGACCAAGAGAAATTATAGAGGTAGGAATTAGGCAAGGCGGGGCTGCATCACGACCAACAAGAATAAATCGTTAGTGTGGATGCCTGGCAGGATTTGCATTTATGAGTGGTCGGAAATATGCGGTGGTAAATAAAGGATCTCACTAAAGGCCTGGATGCCATAGCCACTGCCACTATTAATAAGATTGATACACTACCAAATATGAACAGACCTGCGTGACGTTTGCCTTGTGATTTGGCTCTGTTGTATGATATGATACCCTAGTGAGCGAGATGTCAATCCACAGGATAGCATAGACAACTTTGCTGCGTATGGATGCCAATGGGTAACGAGGAAAACTCTTGCATCTGACGTGCGGATTCCCTATTAATATATCGTTGCAAATTGAGCTTCCTAGAGGACAAAACGCAGCCATTTCATTGCTAGTATCATATTAAAAGGGTGAAAGGGCTAAATCAACCAACAGGTAGTGTAAATGCGTTTGGCATAGGCTTGTTTCCATTCCTTATTTCGTCAAAGAACGCAACTCCTTTGACTAGCATCGTTCACCACTGCAAACGGAAACCTATACTTTAAAAGAACATGACAAGGAATTTCTTAATTTGCTATTAACATGCAAGCGTATGGATGTGAATAACCACTGCAAACGGAATACTATACTTTGAAAGAACAAGACAAGGAACGCTGCCCAAGGCTGCCCAAGGACAAAGAATGGCTGTGAGCATGAGTGTCCGAGAGTTTGCGGAGACCCATGCGAGCAACAAAGCCAAGTTGCAGTATACAATATTCCATTACCATGTGGACACATCGCCGGCCAACTGAAATATCATGAGGCACAGATACGGGGAAAAGTTCAGTGCCAGGTCTGCATGGAACAAGATACGAAGCATTGTAAACATCAAATCCGGGTCCGTTGTTATGAACTGCCATTAAATGTCGATTACCCATGTTTGGCAACATGTGGAGCAGCGCTGACTTGTGGGCACAACTGTACTTACTCATCCTTGCAAAGATTGCAGCACTAGGATTGACAGTTTAATCGCTGAGATGATACATGGAGTTTGTAATACTCAATGTGGAAGACCATACACGACGTGCAGTCATAGCTGTGAAGCCCCATGTCATGGCGATATGCCCTGCCCTCTTTGCACAGAACCATGCGAAGTTAGCTGCAACCATTCAAAATGCAGCAAGCTCTGCCATGAGCCATGCGCACTATTCGCATAGTTGGCCTTGTTATTAGAAAATTGCTACGAGCCAACTCTTCAAACCTTTAAGAGGTCCGTTCAATGACACCCGTCTTCGGCCGTCTTCTTTATGAAATATGTAAAATGCGTTAGAAGGTATATTGTAGACACCTTAAAGATGATTTGTAGCGAAAAATATATATCTCGTTGACTTTAAAAGCAAGATAACTGTAATAATATCTATAATATTGCCAAAACCTAACAGGAATGGCATTTAACTATCTCAAATGCGCGTCGAATCTACGCTCCCCAACAGTGAAGTAAAGTATCTACATCCTCCCCCTCCCTCCTTCCGTAACAACTCATTAACCATCTTCTATTTCCACGCAGCAACAATAATATCCGCTGCCATCTCCGCAACTCCATAAACGGCCGTCTGGATATGCGCCCCCGGAATAATCGGAATAATACTCGCATCAACGACTCTCAGATGATTCACGCCATAAACCTTCAACTTCGAGTCCACAACGCCCCCATCCTTACGAGGAAGCATCGCGCAGGTGCCAACTGGGTGGTAAATACTCAGCGTGTTAGCGCGGGCATAGGCCTCCCAATCTGCATCCGTGGCTACTGCACTTCCAGGTTCGTACTCAGTAGTCCAAATCGAGGACATAGGTGCTGTGGTGGCGATGGTGCGCATGAACTTTGCAGCAACGACCATGGAGTGGAGATCGTATGGGGTATGGAGGTACTTGGGGTCGATAGTGGGCGGCGTGTTGATGTTTGTCGATTTCACGTGTACTGAGCCGCGGCCGAAGGGGTGAACGGAGACAGCGAGGAGCGAGAAGAACTCCGATCCGAACAAGGGGGCATCGGCGGCAGGGTATCCCTTGACGCCGGTGTAGCCATCGGAGAAGATGATTTCGAGCTGCGACATCAGGGGTGTGAGCTTGGGATCGGAGAGGAAGGAGAGTTTCTTGGCATCAATTGGGTTGGAGAGGTCTGCGGACTTGCGCGCGAGGGCGAGGAGGTCGGCATTGGTAGAGGTGGAGACCTGAGACCAGTTGAGGTACGCATAGCCGCTGCCGGTGTAATCGTAGGCGGAGACTAGGTTGGAATTGTACAGCGCGAGCTGAAGTGCGGCATAGGTGGCATTGATGCGTAGGCGATCGAAAGAGAGGAAGTTGGGGAGGAGTTTGTATGAAGACTGAATGCGAGTATGGTCTTGGAGATTCTCTCCGACGCCAGGGAGGTCGGAGATGACCTTTGTAACCCCGGCGGCGGCGAGGACAGCGCGGCTGCCAATTCCGGAGAGCTCGAGGAGGCCGGGGGATTGAAAGGAGCCGGCGGAGAGAATGACTTCTTTGGCGGCGGAGATGACGGTGCCATCTTCAAGAGTGACGCCGGAGGCAGTTGTGCCAGCAAAATTGACTTTGGAGACGCGTGTGTTAAGGAGTAGGACAAGGTTCTTGCCCGCGGCGTCGAGGTAAGACGTGCTGTATGAGCGCGTGTAGTCTTTCAGGCGGATATTTGTGGGTTGTCTCATGACTCCGAGGAGGTGTCCACCAAGCGAGGCCAAGTTCTCCTTCACGCCGAGGCCATTTAAGGTCGGGATAAAGGTTAGCTGGTGCGTTGGCAGGATGCGGTTCATGAGAGTCTGGACAAGACCTCCTTTTCCGACTCCGGCGCCGACATACTCTGGCGAGGGTACGAAGTTCTCGACCTTGAGCATTGCTGCCTGGATAGTCTTCCAGTTCCACCCTGGGTTTCCCAGCTCCTCCCAAGCATCATAGTCCTTGATGCTGCCACGATCCCAGGTCATCAGGTTCAACGCCGAAGAGCCGCCCAGGACCTTGCCGCGAGTCATGCCAATGACGCGACCATTGGCGTCGGGCTGGACGACGGTGGTAAGGTTCCAGTCATACTTGGTGCCAATGGTCGAGCCCTTCTTGCCCGGAATAATAATTCCAGGCTCGGTTCGCCCATCCTGGCCTGCCTCAATGACGAGGACACAGGAGCTAGGCAGCCTCTGGCTGAGGCGAGTTGCAACTGCGAGGCCAGCTGTACCGCCGCCTACAATGATCTACGAGGTTCAGTTGAAGTTCAGCTATGGGGTAGGGATCTGCGTACAAAGTCATAGCTTTTGAGGCCGCTGGTACAGGCGTGAGCAGCGGTAGGAGGGACAGCGGTGACGGGGAGAATCTGTAGGAGCACGGCCAGCAGGTGAGTGAAGGCCGCGCGATTGAGTCTCGCCATCTGATTTGGGCGGAGCTGTGATTGGGACGAGAGGTCTCAGCTGCTGGGACACGAAGGGAATGATGGGTGTAGATCAAGTCTCAAACCATTGACGTGTGGCTTTGGGCGTGGCTTCTGTGAGACTTTGTTTGAGAGGACGGTGGAAAGAGCACTCCATAAGCCATTGCGACGACACAGGGGAGCTAGTTGAGTATAGCCTATTTGACCATAAAGTGAGCAATATCCCGGGTCTGTGTGGGGCAGGGTGTTTAGACCACCACAGAGTAGTATGTATTGGTAAGGGTTAGCAGGGTTGGTATATCCAGGGTTAGGGATATGGAGTACTCTTAAGATATGCGCCGGTGGGCAGAGGCTGCAATGATCTACAGTACTGTGCTGCTGTACCGCTAACTGTAGCACCGTCTCGTTTGTGCTAGACATGGTACTCTACAGTACGTATGGTGGTAGTACATACGTAAGGTAGATGTGTTGAAGTTCTAAGCCTGACGGAAGAGAGTGGGGCACGGGGAGTTATGACAGGCCCAGGGCGCAACGTCTAGCCGTGAACCTTATTCACCATCCTTTATGGGTTACCCTAGGGGTTAGTACATCCAGAGTAAACAGTGGCCAAGCAGCACTAGTTCTCACTAATGAGAAGAAGAAGTCTGGACGTTCGATGGACAAGAATTGACAATAGCGGCAAAATGCAAAATCCAAGCCGTAGTTGGTAAAATAGGGTAATACGACGAATACGGTGGATGTGATCCGTGCCAGGTTTCGACTTTATAGAAGTTTATTGGTGTAGTGGCGGGCCCACAGTGCCTTGGCGTCCTCTTATCCCTACCCCACGAATCGGTTAGGGGAATGACATGACTAGTGCTACTTGACCGGCAACATGGGAAGCTGCAACTGCCAGGCCAAGCCTCAACTGTAACATCTCCAACTTTAACAACCCTGGTGTTGTAGGATTACATGCAGGCACTGCACAGAACAACACTCCTGCATTTACACATATTATGATGCTGACACTTCTGCAGAAATGAGCGTGGGGATGAGCATGGGAGGGTGTGTGGGTAAGCAACCAACCCTTGAATGCCGACAATTGACAGATGGCGGCACGCTCGTTACGCCTGGTACAGACGCTTTCAGGAGAGCGTATTAGAAGGGTAGGTTAAATGATTACTATACCCGATGGACCATGTATTAAGAGGCCGGGTGTCCTTCACCGCACTGAGCGGCTGCATACTTAGGGTTGGGTTTAACACATTTGGTGGGTGTATGTTGAACTTTCTCCACCAGCGTGGATGGGGCTTGCCGGCTGCCAGGTATCAGCGTTGCCGCTATCCAATTTCAATTCGACGGGAAGCGCCGTGTGGGCTATGTGAAGCTACCAGCCGTCCTGCTCCATTACGTACGGCTAAGCTTAATGGACTCCCCCAGCTTCCGTTTCTGGCGAGATTTTCAGTACTTGTCATGGTTCTTGCGGTTGACCGGATAACGTCCCCGGCCCAGCCTTAATCGCCGTACCATTTCACTCAATCCAATGCCAGTAATGGAAGGTTTGCCTGCTGATCGGCAATGAAGTATGGTTCATCATAAATAAAACCCAAACACGGTCTCACAACGCCACACGCCACATGAAGAACCCTCGACATGAAAGAAAGTAGGTACGGCCGTGCGCTATTTCCAATGTCACTTGTATGACGGGTAGGGTTCTGCCAACCATTGCCCAGGGACTGATAAGGGACCGGACTGCACCTTACGCGATATAGTCGTGTATAGCAGAGTATAGTCTCACATCTAGTCATCTAGTCTATCATCATGGCGTCCTCTGGCGGCCCTATGCCTCTCCCCGAGGACAAGAATATGGGAACCGTCCTTCTCATATTGACATCCGTTCTGATCTTCTTCACCATCACTACGACAGTACTACGCCTATGGGCGCGATACATGCGCGGCCTGATCGGCTGGGTGCGTCCCTCCCACGCCTCCTTACACGCGCGAGATCCCATTTCTGACAAGATTGACCACAGGATGACTATACGATCGGCGTGTGCTGCCTCCTCGCCATCGGGCGAACCATCATCCAGATCGTCTCGGTGTACCACGGCAATGGGCGGCATCGAGTGTACATATCAGACGAGGACTACCAATACGTCAACTTCCTGACATGGATGACCCAGATTTTTCTCTTCCTCAACATCGGCCTACTCAAGTGTTCTATCTGCATTCTCATCTTACGAATCAAGAACACGCCTGTGCTGAACTGGTGCCTGTATATCATGATGGCGGGCCTCATCTTAACGAATATGGAGTGCGTCCTTGTTCTGCTGGCAGAATGCTCCCCTGTTGAGAAGTACTGGCATCCAGATGTGCCCGGAAAGTGCTGGGACACCAAAGTCCGCATTTACTCCATCTACCTCCAAGTTGGTCAGTCACACACCGAGCTCCTACCCCCCATTCCCCACTAACGCTCCCGCCAGGCTATTCTGTTGTCACCGATCTTATCTGCACGCTTCTTCCAATCGTTGTACTGTGGAAGGTCCAAATGAAACGATCCCTCAAGATTGCCGTCTGTGGCCTCATGTCCCTTGGTCTCATTGCAACCGCCACAGCCATCGTGCGCGCCTCCTCGCTTGGAACCACAACCTCAGATCTCACCTACGCGTACTGTATGGCCGCAATCTATGGAAACACCGAGCTGCACCTCGGCATTATTGCTGCGAACCTTTCTCTCTCGCGCTCAATTTATGGATACTTCATGGGCCGTAACCGGGACGGCACGTCAGGCGCCTCGGGGTCGGTGTTCCCGACGATCGGCTCCAAGGGGTCGCGGGGATTCCCGCTGAATAGCAACAGCGACCAGCAGCCAAGGAGAGGGCGCAAGAACAGCGAGGTTGGTAGTGAGTCCAGCCAGATGGAGCTGGGAGACCATGTGGTGAAGACAACCGAGTTCCGGCTCGAGGAGGAGTCGGTGGAGCGAGAGGGGGGAATGGAGAGGGATAGGGTTACGCGGATGAGCTGGGACCAGAAGCCGATGCCAAAGAGAGGGTTCCACGGGGGCAGAGTTTCGGGGGGTGGGTAGAGGTGGTACACTACAAAAAACGGGCATTATTTTCGAGGCGTTTGTTTGTGGGCCATAACGAGTCGGTGGTTGCATATCCTTCAGCGGGCGTTGTGTGTTAAAAGTCATGGGGGCTGTGGTATCTTACGACTGGGTGTTATGAGGACCTATCTTAAATGCTGTACTATATACACCGATACCAGATCCACGTTTAAAACGAACCATTACCTGAGCGGCAGCTCGAAATGCTTTCACACCACATCTTTCGCTTAGAACAATATCTCGAAGTAGACATTCTCTCGATGAGCGGCCCATCAGAGTGAACGAAGCGTACGAACGAGAAGTCATTCAATCCGCATAAGAAACATGCAGCACATTAAAGAGCGAATGGGAAATCAAAAGGATAAATTTTACAGAGTCTTTCGTGATAAAGCGTCCTCGTTCGAAGAAGGTCAAGTTGTTCGCCTTATAGACGCTAGATCGGCGGCTTGCAAATCAGATATTATTATTTCTGAATCTCTGCGTACCACGCTCAAAGATGGCGCTGCGCGTCTGCTTGAAAAACGGAAGGCTCGCCAGTACTATAATCCAAGCCAAGCACTACTTGAACTTGTTGATCCTAGGGTTCCCCCCTTGATCTACGGTAAGACCTTGGTGTCTATGGGTGGCGGCCAAGTAGACTTGCTCAACTGCTTCGAATCATATGGGAGCGGACAACCTTCTCCGCTGCAACCAGATAAGCGGAAAGATTCACTTACGGTCTAGGCAAATATAGAACAACGCTGCTAGGGTGCATCTAATAACCACAGTATGGAGGATATCGGGTATTTTCCCTGATTAGCCAATTTCCAGATGCTTCCTTGCGAGGTCCAATTCAAAGAGTCGGGCATAGATGTGCACATCACATCATACATTAATAGCTTGCATTCTGTTTGTTACAAAGCTCTGTATGGCGGCATTGAGAAGCTCATTTCAGCAGCAATTAAGCCGTAGAACGAATGTCTCGTTAAAGGAGAGAAGGGTCGCTGGCCGATACGGATTAGAGCCTTTGGTCTGACATGGGACCCCGAGTATCGAGAATGTGACGGACAGCAAGATATCCTTTCATCAAAGAGCACACTTGGATGAACTGGGCTACCACTATGATCGAACTAGCGGTCGTTCCTATAATGAGTACGAAATCAAATTAGCATCAATGCTTAGTTTTGGCGAGAGAGCTTTCGACGGTGCACCACCTGTGGAGGAGATCGGGTATATTTCAGAGGCGCAAGGACGTCTCATCACATGGTCCAATACGCTACAATATCGTGTAGAACCATTTACTCTGGTAGATGTGACGATTCCCTGGCTCCGTCGGTTCATAGTGTTATCGCTTGTTGACCCTCACTACCGCCTGTGCTCAACAAGAAATGTACCTCCACAGTGGTACGACTGGGCTAGAGACTCAGCCCAATAAGATGGAGAACAACAGGAGGCGGAAGCGTATGTTATGGGAACAGAAAATCACTGGCAAATCAGTCTTGATGAGGCGATGCGGGTAAAAAAAGAGATGACGCGAGAGCGAATAAGGGCGGACAGAGCTCTTGGAGAAATAGGGTAGGTATCCTTGGACTATTATTAAAGTGCTTTGGACGAAATTACAACAACAACATACACCCAAGGCAGCGATATATTTGTACAATTATGGTAGATTACTCAGTCATCAACTTACCGCTCCTGCAATTTCAAATTCAAATTTTCACCATGCGTGGCACCCCTATATCATTCACTGAGAGGCTCTAACTGCAAAGGGCGGATATGGCGAGGCTTTGTGAAATGTAAGGACTGTGTCTGCTCCATAGTTTTCTGCCTTGGCGCCAGAATTGTCGCTGGCTCTTTTCGTGGAGCATCCCCTTTCCAAAACCGAAGGGGCTTGGGGGGGGGAAACCATTGCCATACGTAATTTCAGTTAGCTGTACCCTACGCTACCCCGAGAAAGTCGAGTTATTGTAGGGATGTAAGGATGTATAATTCTAATTGTTACATTAAGGTTTTACATACTCGCATTTGAAGTTTTAATCGGAGCGGGCTGTGCATGCATATACACCCTTGCTTGATTAGGCAGGCGCTTGGTGTAATGATACTGATGCTATAGTTGTCCATGACTCATACGTCTTCACCATGACATATTTTTTTATATTTAAACAGTCCGTAATGATAACCACAAATTAATTGATTAAATAGAATCCTTAGTGAAGGTAATACGCAAGCAACGTACAATACATTATGGAGGAAACCATTTCTCAAGCTAAATATGCATCTATGGTATGGAACTCACCACTCGGGGAGCCACACTCCAACGAATTACTCGAACAAATGAGGTTTTCTGCCACAACTAGCATTGTTGATCTTGGATGTGGGTGGGGAGAATTGCTGTTACGAGCAATAGTAAGGACAGGGGCAAAAGGAATAGGCGTTGATACCGACCCCCTGGCCATCGATCGGGGGCTCCGAGCGGCAAGGGAAAAAGGTGTAAGTGTTAAATTTGCCTGTCAATCTGCTGCAGATTGGCGAGATACAAGAGACCGTGCCATCTGCATTGGATCGTCTCATATTTTTGGGGGCAGTCGAGCTATGCTCCAGCGGCTTGCAGAGATTGTGCCCAAGGGCAGGGTTCTCATCGGAGACACTTTCTGGGAGCGTCAACCGACAGATATTGCACAAGAGATACATGGAGATGACATTCCTATGCTCATAGATCTTGTTGCAATGTGCCGAGAGACGGGTTGGGAGATTCTAAATCTGACAACAGCGGATCAGAGGGAGTGGGACAACTTCGAGTCTAGTCACCGAGCTGGACTACGGCAGTGGATAATTGAGAATCCAAACTCCCCAAAAGCTCAAGAAATAAGAGAACGGCTAGATGAGAGAGAGCGCGAATATATCATGAACTACCGTGGTCTCTTGGGCTTCGCCTATCTTGTTCTAGGGCGATAAAATGATACCATTTGGCACTCAATAATCCATCAATTCTTTGCCCTTTGGGTAAATATATTTGACAATCAACTATTCTACAACAAGCTTCAAGTGACAAAGGTCACCTATAAACTGCAAATATTACAAGCCTTCCTATTTGAACCAACTGCCCTGCAGCTGATTTCTCCCAATTACTGGCCAGCGAAGAAGGCTTTTGCAGCAGTGTCATTAGGCTGCGCATTCCCGAAACCACAGCCGCCGTCACGTTCTTGGGCAATGACTGGGCCAGCACACTTGCCGGAATTGAAACCGCAGCAGGCTGATGCACAATCGGCATCGCTCTTGCAGGCCCCGGTGATGAATTGACTCCCAGGAGCTGCGGCGGCGCTAGTGCCAGCGGCAACAGCCGCCTGCCCTGCAGCATTTCCGTTGTTGGTTGACGCACCGCCAGTGAGGGCCTTCGCAGCAGTGTCATTTGGCTGCGCATTCCCGAAACCACAGCCGCCGTCACGTTCTTGGGCAACGACTGGGCCAGCACACTTCCCAGAATTGAAACCGCAGCAGGCCGACGCGCAGTCGGCATCGCTAGTACAGGCCCCAGTAATGAATTGACTACCAGCAGCAGGCGCAGCGCTGGTACCAGCGGCGGCCGCTGCTTGTCCAGAAGCAGCATTTCCGTTGTTGACTGGTGCGCCGCCAGTTAGGGCCTTCGCTGCGGTATCATTGGGCTGTGCATCCCCGAAACCACAGCCACCATCACGTTCCTGAGCGACAACCGGACCGGCACACTTGCCAGAGTTGAAACCGCAGCAGGCCGATGCGCAGTCGGCATCGCTAGTACAGGCCCCAGTAATGAATTGAGTCCCAGCAGCTGGCGCAGCGCTGGTACCAGCGGCGGCCGCTGCTTGTCCAGAAGCAGCATTTCCGTTGTTGACTGGTGCGCCGCCAGTTAGGGCCTTCGCTGCGGTATCATTGGGCTGTGCATCCCCGAAACCACAGCCACCATCACGCTCCTGGGCGACAACCGGACCAGCACATTTGCCAGATCTGAACCCACAACAAGCCGATGCACAATCAGCGTCGGTGGTGCAAGCTCCCGTAATGAATTGTGTGCCTGGGGCGACCTGTCGAAGTGAAATAGCTGGGAGCGCGACTGCCGGGATGGATACTACCAGAAATAAATCATTAGGAGACTGTTATAGCTGAAATAGATGAACGGTTTGTGCCAAAACTCACAGTTGAGCAGGAGAAATGCTAACAAGCATGTTTTCTTAATACAACTGGACATCCTGTAAAATGAATGGGATAGGACTCGAACTAGGGAGGACTTGTATAAAGAATGGAAGTCGACGACGAAGGAATGGACTCGCACCAGGCGGAGAAAGAATGGAAACTTAGAAAAGAAAGAACTCGAAAGGATAAACGCAATGGTAAGGAAAAGTGGCGAAATAACAGGCCTGGTGGTTATATATACACTGAACGCCTCAATTCCGCATCCCATAAACACTTCATTATCGACCTTCCCAAACGGCGACGACGTTGACGTGAAACTCTTCAAACACTCATGATTCCACCTCGGCGATGTGGTTTGTTTCAGCCACGCAGAAGATTCATGTCTGGGCGCCACCACACGGGCCACCGAATCTATTCTTGCCTGTATATGAGAATTACCTCACCAAGCAATTGCTTTTGGCAAGTAAGGTTTATTATTTCGCAGGTACATGGTAATACTATCTCAAAAACCATCCGTTGGTTGTCGGCGAACTTTTAATTCCGTGGCCTGTCTTTTCCTCCATAAAAAATACTAAGCTTTGATGTTCCCCGAGATGTGCGCGTCTCCCGTTCCCCTGTATCACGATGCATGACGATCTCTGATCTCCACGTTTCGTCTCGACCTCTTCGGACCGAGCTAAATACTTGCGCTCGGAGTTTTGAACTCCCGTACTTGTTCTCCTCGCCATAATTGTTTGCCATGCTTCACGATGAAATTATCATCATGTGAAGACAGACCATTTTCTCATGCGGTACAGTGACTTAATACGTAATAGCTTTACTTGGACCATGCTTTTCCAAGAGCCTCCTGTTTACACATTGTAACTATGTGAATCCCTAATCCGTCTCACTCCCAAGAAGCCCAGCGTCACTTGCCTCAAAGGGATGCTCTAACCCAACTCTTCGGATTAGATCCACGTGCTTCTGACTTCTCGGCACGGCCTGGAACTGAAATTCGGTTGGGTAGCTCAAGATTCCAGGTTTCGGCTTCACATCAATGGCAGTTTCATTTCCATCCTTACCAATCGACTTAGCGACTTTAAATGTGGCTAAAGTCTGCACCATATTGATATAGAGGCTTGAATCCGCAAAAAAACGACCAGGGCATATCCTGCGCCCGTAACCAAATCCCTCCGTATCTGGAGTAGGCTCGTTGCGTGGGCTAAGGAAACGTTCTGGGTCGAATGAGGCTGGATCGGAGTATACGTCTGGATCGTGCAGGAACCACCAGACGGCCGGGAGAAGTAATGCTCCCTTCGGGATATGAAGGTCGTTGTACTCGATGTCAACGTCAACTGCGTGCGGGAAGCCCATCGGAGCAATGGGCCACCATCTCAAGGTTTCTTTAACTATAGCGCTGACATACGGCAATCTGTCCCGGTCACCGAAATTTGGTAGGCGATCAGTGCCAACCACACGGTCAATCTCCTCCTGTGCCTTGTGCTGTACGTGAGGAAACATAACCATAGCCAGGGTGAAGACACTTAGAGTTATCACTGTAGTGTCTGCGGCAGCACCGTAGAGACTTGCTGCAGTCCATACAATAGCCTCCTCATCATCGCTGTTTAGAGTTCCAGTCTCGCCCTCAGGCCCAAATTTCCGAATAAGTTTTGACACATAGGACTGCTGGTGACCATTGGCAGCTATCTGACGCTGGGCAAACCGATAAGGGGTGTATGCAGTTGCGCGAATGCTTCTTCTCCATTTTCGAGCTATTCTCTTAAATTTAACACCCGGAAAATTCTCAGGTATATGCCGAAGAATAGGAATGAGGTCGACTAGCCATGCCATAGGAACAGCGGCGAGCGAGAATTCAGTCATCATTTTATCGCTCAAGTCAACCAAAACGTCAGGTTTGTGCGGCTCAATGGTGTAGCCGTAGGTCATTTTTAAGATGGTGGCAGCAGCGGTGCTGTACAACAGTCAATACAATCAGTCTCATATTTAGGGCATGGGAACGGCCAAAGATCGTCTGAACTTACGTCTTGAAGTGCTCTAGGAATTTTCCGGGCTCGTTAAGCGCCCGCACGAGCTGCCGGCTTACTTCAATTTCTTGGACATCACGGAACTGTGCTGCTGACGTCTTGGTGCCAAGTTCCTGGTGCAGCAGCTTGCGGTGATGCCGAAAGGTGCTGGTATATTCTTTGCAGACCATGACGGTCTCATAGCCACAGAGTTGATTTGCGAAAACCATTGTAGGCCGTCCCGAGGTTTTGATTGAATTTTGCTCAAGAAGATCATGGGCCACCTTTTTATCATGGATGACAACGAGCGTCATACCAAGGACAGTTACGGAGCTAATGGGGCCGTACAGGTCCTTATGCTTTAGCCAATGCTGGAACTCCGGAACATCTGCTGGGGGGAAGTCACGAGCATTTCCTACGATCGGAAGCGGCCTTGGACCTGGGGGAAGGTTGTGTCGACCAGATCGACCAGAGGCATGTCGGTAGATGAGGTATCCAACCAGGGTAATAATAATCCATTGCCACACGGATGGAAGCGACATGCTGTGTTCTTCTCGATTGAAAACTGTGACAGATTCGCAGTTGGACACCGCTTCAGGCTCAAGAATGTATAGTCAAAAGGAACAGCGAGAAACAAGAAGCTGCAGACAAGGCTCCGGCTTTGCAACCTTGCTGGGTTTATATAGAGCCCTATGAAGGTATCCGCAGATCTTGGCCGATGGGCTTGGGCAGAGTGTAACGGAACAGGAAACTCACGACAGGCCACAATCACGAAAGGTCTGAAGTAAATAAGTGAGGTCCATATTAGCGATATATGCAGGCTGTGCTTGGCTGCCTATATTTATACTTGGGCTCGGCTAACGAGGAATCTAACAACCTCCCACTGTTATCTTCAAAGATACAACGGCATATATTTAGAGGTCTTGGTGATCTACTTGGTGCTAGCTAAGCTGTTGTTCACCCTCCAGCTTTTTGAGGTGAAGATTACAGAATAATATTCATTAGATAAGACGTTAACCCGGCTACATCAATCACAGAGTGCATATATATATACTGTCCTGCTAGTAAAAAACCATGGACTAGTGGCCACGATATGTGAACGATCTCATGAGAGATGCAATAGTGGCTTTTGTAGGATAACAAAAATAAAGGTTCCTTTCCTCATAAACATATGAGAACTCTTCAAAATTGAGTTCTGCTATTTTTGGGATAAGCATCTCGAGATTTAGATCTTATGTCTCGTTCCCTAACAGTAATAAAATTTCGGTGACGTCCCCTACGGATTGCCGCACAGCCTGCCTGGACCCAATACGATGCCCTTCCTCACAGTGGGACCGTCACCCAGGCCTAGTGCCTAGTGAGGAGGGCCTCGTCCGAGTAGATTGCCGCGATAATCTCCTCCAAGAGCCACCGGAGTGACATAGACCGACAAAGGCCATCGTTATTCCCGCCACTCCCCCCCTCCACCCCAGATTGCACGGATCAGGGGCCACCCTGGAATCTGTCTTAGGCGAAGGACCTTGCCATCCTTACAATAAGGATGCTTATTTGTCGTCTAGCTCAGGTCGTACACGGTCAACTACCATCTTGTCAGTCCATGCTTTTGCGGGGATTCAGGAACATACCACCCCGTTCTCCCACTTCGCTACCATGTTGTGGCCGGGAGTTATGTGTTGACTCCAAACGGCCCTGCGTTTACGAGGGCGATGCCGAGATAGGTAGCAACATGAGGGAAAGGGATGGCACATCCGCGAATACCAGACTCAGTGAACGTATGTAAAGAGAACTGTGCCGCTCCCCAGAACGATATTTCGCTGAACACCCATTCCAGCCCGACGAGGCTTAGTCGTCGACTGATAGCTTAGATTCTCTTGCCATCAGCTCCGATACTCAGCCGCATTCCACAAATATTGCCATTAGCAATTGAAACAACTATTCCACCGGGGATCGTTCTCGTCGGGTTTGGCCAAACCAAAACGCCTTGTAGTCACTGTCCACATCAGACAACTTCACGCCAGATCCTCTCAGAGGTTTCTTGGTTCCCACTGAACGCAATATCTCTATAATGCGCAACAAGAGGGAGGTAGTACGGGTGCAGAAACAATCGCCCGCCTGGATTTATCTAGACAGTGCATATGTTAGTTAATGCTTATAAAAATCCGGCGTCAACCTACCTATCCTGTTAGGGCCGTAGAAGGTAGTCATGGTAATCGTGCCAATAGACCGTGGTTAGGATGTCCTTAGAACTAGGGGCATTCTGCATGCTGCCCGGCGTTATGAAGCCCATGACCTTGGAGATTATATCCCGTCCGGTTTATTGCAAAGCAAAATATCCCGTGCAACAAAACCCTAGAGCTATTAGACCTCCAGTTTGGTATTTGCATGTAAATGATGCTAATGAGGGGATCGAGGTCAGATCAGAAGTGGAGACAGGTTGTTCGGTGGGTATGGGGTTCCACTGTACCTGGCAAAGTAAACGCTAGAACTAGTAGCCCGGCATAAAATCCCCCCGATAGCTTACGCTTGGCAGGGCTCTCCAGGACGAAACAAGCAGAAGCTCTCGTGCCCACAGCCCCGAACATCTCATTTCTCCCCCGTTATGTCTCGTTATGCCTCATTATGTCTTGCTATCGCCCCTCCCTGACTGGCTGCGCCAACCCTCCTACGCTATTTACGCAGGTATGAGCCTACATGAAGGGGCCACAAAGTATGCCACGTTATCCAAGAATGGATGTTAGCCTTGGACGATCTGAGATGTGGGGATGGGCTGAGATAAAGGTGTGGGGAGTGGCTGAGCGAACGGTGTGGGGAAGAGCTGAGAAAATGGTGTATAAGAGCAGGACAATTTCCTGACGACGATCCCCTCACCACACCACCTTACTGCACATACCAACCTTTCCCTAGTTCCATTCGGCCTAAAATTGGAATCATGAAGCTCTCGAGCGCTCTCGCATTCCTCCTCCCTGTTGTCGCCCTGGCCAACCCCCTCCCTGCGTCAGATGCCATCGCAGATGGCGAGAACGCTGGGCTGGTTTCTCGCTCGAAGCAAGTCTGCAAGATTGTTAATGCTTCTGTTGTGAATTGCCGCTATGACCCCTGGGTCCCGAATAATGGTAAATAAGTGATCTTACCTTTGTAATGCGGTTCTGTCTGACATTAGTGTACAGCTCTGGACAGAATAAGGACGACCTTCAAGAAAGGTACTGGACATGACTTTACCTGCTACACCGAGGGAGAGTGCATCAATGGTAACTGGTGAGTATTGCTGCAGCGAGCATTTGAGTTTCTTAGGTGCAATGGCTAACTGGCGATACAGCACGTGGGACTGGGCTGTTAACTGGGGCTGCTATGTTCCAGGAGCCTACACTGACGCGAATTGCTCCAAGGGTAAGTTAATAATCTGTGATTGCATTTGTTAATAGTGGTAACTAATAGTTTCTGCAGCTAAACTCGGCCACTGCTAAAATTAGAAAGAGCATGTGAGAGGGAGAGACAGAAGGGAAGGAAGAGAAGGTAGCGGCTTACTTCCTCTGGCCAGAACTGCATCTCTTCGGGGATGCTTAGTGCATTTCCAGGTGGAATGGTTGCTCTCATTACAGAACATGCAACGCTTAGGCGATTCCTGAGTAACATGGAGTTTTTTATGTGGGCATCTGTATGTTTGCTAGTCGTATACCATCCAAGCGGATGGTGTAGAGCTGGCGGACGATCCCACTCATGTTATGGGAGAAAGAGATAGATAATACATATGAACGTGAAATTGAGGCATCAAGATCCTAGCCTCGTCGAGAGGTCTACGACGGGCCGGTATTGTTCATGGGTTCCGGAGTGAGGGTGTTGATAGGATCTAAAGTTACTATTGATTCAGCAATATGGAGGTATAGATGTGAATTTCGACACCTGTCTACCGAAACTACAAGTCAACCGTAAATAGACACGCCTGGGTGATGCGGAGCCTTTGAGTCTGCCGATTTCGAGGCGTTGCCTGCCTCCCCATCTGACGGAACCCTTTAGACGGACCATGATGTGCCTCGTTGGAAATCCAAAGTCCTCGACTTCCCTAAGAAACACGGCGGGGACGGCTTCTCAGATTTTCGTGAACCTCGTCTCAAGGACTGCAGCTGCTATTTATTTTGCTTCCACGTCAATCATGCTCGCATCGATAACCAAGAGTGCGTAATTTTCCTCCAAAATGAAGGTGCGAACAGCGACTGTTGCCAATATGGCATATCAGTGTCCGCAGGGACTTTAGGACGCAGTCCTAGTGCCTAACTGTTGCTCGCTCGCGACGATGTGCTTGAATGCAGCCGGATTTAGAAACTTAACCAGGCCTACAAGTTCCTCTAAGTTGAATGAAGTCGAATCCTTAGACCTCATGGCCTCGGTTGCTACGCAGTAATCTCCAACGCCCACCTCCTTAGGATCGTCCATACTAAATGGTAGCTGGTCTACCAGGTCATTCCTCATGCCATTCCAAATGAGACTGAGCATGCCGTATAGATCAATAGACTTGTTAATGGTTGGGGTCGCCGTAATTAAGACCATGCGCTGTGCTCCAAGCCGCGCGACTGGTGGGTCCGAGTGAACACGCTCTTCAGCTTATGAGACTCGTCGGCTATAACGGTCCCAAGCAGCCTTGGTGCTTATGGTCCTAGGCTCTTCTGTCGATAGTGTAGACTTCTCGCCATCGTTCCTAACATCCTCCTCATCCCTACCCTCGACTCCGTCGTCTGCCCGCCCTTTCCCCTTTGCATTCTCAAAGAAGATCGTTCGAATATGGAACGTCTGATATGTCGTCAAAACGATCTGTAGGGCCGTTCTCGGGTCGTTGTCCTTGAACTGTCCAACATGTTCCTTAAGGGCGTCCGGGAGCTTGTTTAGTGTGATTAGCCTATCGCCAGGCGAGGCCTTAGAGGGAGAGCCTACCCACAGGCGTAGCGACATATCTGGGAACTTTGCTACATCTCTTTCCACACAGAGAGCGCAGATGCCGGGCACACAATGAGTGTTGGCTTGTAGGGACCCTCCAGCCCAAAGAAATCCTCGCTAGTCGCGTGATTTCTCCCCTTACTCCGAGCCCGCGCCAAGTCCACGCCTAGCTGCAGAGCTGTCAGACTCAGGACCGTCTTTCCCAGACCGACATCATCAGCAAACAAGCCATTGTCGAGCTCGTGTTGCCACTGTCGCAATATCCATCCAGGGCCGGTAACTTGCTACGGGAGCAGTCTGACACCCCTAGCGATTGGAGTCAGTCAGACCTGCTTGCAGGAGTGAGCTTTTGCCAATTCATTGCGTCAACTGTCGAATCCGCCGCATATCTCCTTTTCATCTTCTAAATGACACCTCTTCTCGTGCAGTAGTTGGTAGCGGACCACTTTAGGGGTTCCCCGCATTCACGGCGCCATAGCAAATCTTCTTGGTGTCCAGTTGGGCCCACAGTGCCTCTCATTCTTTGCTGGTTGCGCCAGCCCCGCAGAAGCATGTCGTCGCCCCAGTTGTAGATGTCCTCGCCCTCCAAAACAGAGCTGGGCTTCTTGCCCCGTTCTCCCTGGCTTTCATGAGACTTTCGGCACTGGATGGCCTTGTCTCATATCATTTAAAGCTGGATCTTGCTCCTAGTTAGTAATCTTTCTGAGCAGTTCCGATGGCAGCTGTGTCATCGATTATTAGTTTGATAGATTGGTATGTCCATCCAATGCAGGAAGTCTCCATTCACAGGCACATCGGAGACCGAGCCATATCGCAGATAGTTGCATGCGAGCGAAGAGGCCGCCGAGCTACCCAGGTTTGCAAAAGACGCATAGGGGGTTGTTAAGAATACAGTTGCCTTTTGAATCGTGCTTTGCTGGCAATTCGTTGGTTAGGCCCTTAAGATGAGGGCAGGAAACCTCCTTTGAACAAGAAAAGTCGAGGTTGAAGGCATCGTTCACCCATGGCTTCGAGACGAAGGTGTCAGGGTATTCATCGTCCGCGTAGTTCTAGAAAGAGACTGTGTTCATGATACCAGTAGAGGTCATCTCATCATTATCAAGAAACCCCGCGAGCAGAAGCAAGACATGACCGAAGTCAGGAATTGTAAAAAACATAAGCATTTATAGAGAGGATTGGCCTTGATATACTCTCTGCTTTTAGAAGGCACCTGCATGGAGTACCTATCGTGTTCATCTGAGCAGCTCTGTTTCTGCAGGTCTTCTTCAGCCCCGAGGCGGTGTCCATCGAGCGTCTTCACAAGGCGTTTTTACGCCGAGTGGGAATCTACAACATGCTCCTAAGAGAGTGTTTTCAGAAGGGGACATAGCATCACCACCAGTAAACATCACGTCAATAAGACGTGTGAAAGATGGATTGGTGTCGAAAGGTGCCTGGGAGTAGGCAACCCTTTTCCTGCATCCATAATTCCGTGTGTGCTTCACACCAACAGGGACAATAGACACATCCCTCTTTGAACCGAGGCAAGTTCCCCTCATCTGCAGCCCACTGGCAATGTATTGATTTTCCAAAGGTCATGTCATGGCACTCAGATCAAAGAAGTGCAAGGCGCCCCCCGCATTATAAGAAAGGTTCCACCACTGCGACTTGCAGATGCTCAAGCTCCACCTCGGAGACCAAGAGCACGCACTCTCTATCCCGATGAAGAATGGCTTCCCTGAGCGAGCGCTACGATTTGAACCGTAAAATCTGGTCCTCGCTTTTGCTTTAAACATTGTTGCCGCCAGTCAGTCCGGTCCCCGTGTGTGCTTTGAACTCAGCTGTCGCAAAATTCGGTACTCGCATGAGCTTTAAAAGTCGCCGCCGTCAGGTTCTGCTCTGGTTCTGGTACTTCCTTCAAAGCGGCAACTGACGCCGCCGACAGGTAATAATGAGGAGTCGTTCCCTCCTCTCCCATTACCAGGGCCAAAAGCAGGCCATATTTCCTGTGATCGGAATGTTGACAACTGCATCACCGCATATTCACCCAGCATCCACCAGCAGCTTCATCCCAGTGGATGGCCCGAATGTGGAGTTGACGTTATGAAAAATAGTCAGTGTTGCCCGAGTACTACTCGTTGCGAGTACTACTCGAGTAATTACTCGAGTAGTACTCGACTCGAAGAAATCTGAACTACTCGAGTAGT